ACTGAAGTGCACTTGCACTCCAACAATACACCCTCTCCTCTCTGTTGACGCACACACACATACACACAATAAGAGGTTAGCTATGATAGGCATAATCCAAACAAAAATAATAAAATAACAATATACCCTGTTGCTATATCAAGATCTAACATCCTTAAAAAGTTTCTCATTGCCTGTCGGAGGGTGGTATTGCTGCAGATTTACCACATCATTTGAAAATTCCTCAATGGACACTGTTAAAGGGACTTCAATGAATTTTTGTTTCTCTTTAACGAAGCTTGACGCTGGCAGTGCCAGAGAATGAATATTACTTTATTTCTGAAATAATAACAATAATGATCTTTATTATGCTGCAGGAAATTTGTCTTACAATTTGTGCATTACATATACCAAAACGTTACAACTATAGCTACTTTAATATACGTTCACACTAGTTTCATCCGCATATCACATGTGAAATATGTATACAAAATTCATACTTGCATTTCACAATTTAATTCCTAGGGAAACATAGATCTTTTGTGATGGTAAATTGTTAAATGTTTCAAGCCTTTCTAGACCTTTAGTTTAAAACACATAATATTTTATCTATTACAGGAAATGTTTCTATTTTACATGCTCTTAATTGATAAATACCGAAATAAAATCTATCTACACAATCTGGCCAATGATTGGAGATTAAAAAAAAATCTCCTCACATTATCTCCCCTTCAAGTGTTGTCACTGACCTGAACTTACAGTAACCCCCATCGCTTCCTGTCTTTTCCGCTGACTTTTGTCAGCAGGATCTCAGAAGCAGCTCTCTTCTGACAGCCTGCACTAGAGTTCGGCACGTGAAACTGTACGGGCAGATCCTTTGAGTTCATTAAGTCAAGATTGTGTTGTTCTAGGGGCCGGGCATACCACTTGAAAGTGTGTCTGGTTACTTGCTGGCTGAGTAACATTTGCACTCTCTCAGCCCTCGGTTTCGTGTCGGAGCTTGTTAGGGATGAGTGGGCGCGTCCGTGTTGACATTCTAGCCTGCCTATTGTATACGTCACCGCTAGAAGTATGAGTGATGTTTACGTCATATTGTTTACTTACCTCATTTTACTCATCCATTGTATACCATTTAAATCTTTTTAGCACTCCGCATAACTCTTGTGAGTAGTGCTGCTTGCTTGACAAACATAGTAAAATTTAATCTTTTTTTTTAAGTTATCAAAGTTTGCATAACTCTACCAAATATGACATCAATTATCTTTTTTTCTTTCAGATTGAGGCCATATGTGTATTCAAAGAAATGCTGTTCTGAGCCCAATCCCAAGCTATAAGTCTTTCATCTCAGACCTCTGAGTCGTTTCTTCTATTCTTGTTGTGTTACACTAGACGGTCACTGGGAGCAACAGGCGCCTTGAGATGCAGGAACTTTGAACATGTCTGAGACAAAACTGAAAAGAATAGACATCTCCGGTCCTGTTTTGCAAAGTGCAACTGATGTTCGAGTCAGTCCATCCTTTCGGGACGGGACCCAGCATTCATCCACCGAGGATCTCCTTCTGCAGCAAAAGCAGCCTAACGGTTCTGACGACCAGGCTGTGCAGCGCTTTCAGACCAAATACGCATCGCCTGACCACTTCCAGTTCTCTTCCAGCACCATCCCATTAAGCATTGCCAACATCGAGGCCGATGCCGTGCGATCCAACGGTAGCTCTGCGTTTTCGGACACATCGTCTGAGCTGTCCGACGTCCCGTCCACGGCCCCAAGCTCTGGCCCTATTGGGTTCGTCCTTCCACTGGTGGCAGGCATTACCGAGGACGACATCAACCAGGTAGAGCTTTTTTACCGCAGCCACAAAACTGAAGTGAAAGTATGCCGCTCTCTGGCTAACCTTTATGTTTCGGTGCCTAAACTAACAGACAGGGCAACGATCGTCCAGAAGACAGTAGAAAACTATAAAGACAAAAAATCTAAAAATGCTACGAACACTCAGACGCCTAGTCCTCCAGAGCCGTCAGATATCGGCAAAGACGAGTGGGAGTTTTCCAAAACGGGAATACCCGTTCTAGTGCTAGACACGGGCGAACATGTGCGCCAGAGACGCCTTAGCATGATATTAGCCGAAAAGGGAACCGGGTTCACGTTGTGGCAGGACCAAATCAACCACCTGACCCGATACAGCACGCCTCACTCCAATTTTCACACCGTCTCTCTGTCCACAGACTCGACCAGGCTGATAGGGTTCAGCTTCGACGAAGGCAAAGCCGCCACGGAGTTCGCCGAGGCCGTTCGGACTTTCACGGCCAATCCCGACGACGACCTTTTAAATCTTAGCAACAAGAAGAGGAAGTCGAAGAAAGAGAAGAAAAGCAAACAAAAGTATAAGCCACCCAAGAAAGTGGACATCTCACAGCCTTGTTGCTTTGTTCACGTCACCAAGCTAGAGAGACCCAATCTACTGGGCGGATTTTTCCCACCTCCCCCCAGTGGGGCAGAACTTGCTGAGCTGGGAATAACCCGAGCCATGAGTGAAAGTTCTGGAATTTCCGAAGGTTCTACAACGCCATCTGTGGACTAAGTTCTTTCGTTTTGAAGTTTATGATAATCACTTCGCCTTTTTCAGATAATCCTGTTTAGTTGTAGTTATTCTAGTTCTACATAGATATGTGATAATTTCTACAGCATTACAAGAATACTAAAGTCAGTATGTAAATACATCCGTCAACTAGGTCTTTGTGTAGTCACTTTTAAGGAGTTGGTTTTTAGTCATAATATAGAGCTAGGCTCTATTAGCATCGCAGTAATACATAGGTGGTGCGGGGTCTAACGGGCAAAAACTATTCCCCCGTCCTCTTATAAAATGTCATGTGGACACATAAATAAGAAGCATAGCACTATACACGTACATAAGTTCTTTGCACATATTCTAATTATCAACAAGTGAAGGTAAAACTATGAAAAGATCGCTTCAGAATGTTTGACAATTTTAGTTAGATACTCCCAACTAGTTAGGCGTTGTACATTTATTCCTCATGAGGAGTTTAAGATGTCTATTGTTTTCATCAGTTTCCTTGAGATCACGAGTCAATACTATAGAAAAATGCATTTGTTACGGTGTGAACTGTTCTCTAAGGAAGAGTAGACAGACACTTATATTACTTTAAAATGTATGTGAGGCGCATAAATACCTATTATATAAGGGAGAATTGGGCTTACAGAGCCACAATATAAGGAATAATTAAATCCAAATGGCCAACGAACGGCCGGCCAAAGATAAGAGAGAAATCACAAAATGAGGCCTTGAATCACACCGTTCTTTATAATGTATTTAACTTTTGTAATTATGTAAAGGATCTAAATCCCAACCTGTCTCTAACTACATTTGGGGTCAGCATATAAAGAAAAAAAAGTTATATCGTGGTCATAATGTTACTTTCCTAGGAAATGACAACACTTTCAATGCATGTAATCTGAATGTTACACAATTGTCTTGAAATGTTGTATAGCATAATTTGGTTGTACTTCACCTCTTTCTCAAACTTTGACAGGGTTCGACAATAAATCTTGACCCATTCAGGACAGGGTTCGCCAATAAATCTTGACCCATTCATGACAGGGTTCGCCAATAAATCTTGACCCATTCACAGTAGAAAGTAGACGTGTTCAGGTTTTTTTTTTAAATCCTCAGTCTATGGAGTACGAACATTTAGAATTCAGACCATAGAATTGAAGTTCTAAGACAATCTAAGAGAATAGTGTCTCTTATTTTGTTCTAGCGTGCACTGGTTCTACATTCTGTTTCTCTGTATTCATATATCTAAATCCGCTACTAGAATTTTTTTTTAAAGTTCCTCTCCTGGTGTAAAGCATGGGCGTGTATTGAAAAAGACATAGACTTAAACAATAGAGGAAAAAATATTTTTTTCAGAAAACTTCAATGAAACTTTTTTTGACTTTGTTATAAACCGGATAATAATTATAAAGCAAACTGTTGAGAAAATCACTAGAACACATCCCATAGTTACCGAAATAAAAGGAAGAATATAAAACATTTTTTTTTCGGATTATAGAAAGCTTGTTGTATTTAAACTTCAAACCTTTTTTTTTTTTTTATATTTTTATTTTGTCAAAACTTTATTGACAGTTTGTTTTCTCGAAGTTGAAATAGCAACAATGATGTAAAATTGTAGCCTGTCCATTTCTAAGGTCAGTGTTCCTATACAGTTCAAAAAGAAAAACTCTTTTGTCGGGAGGTGGAAGAAAGTTCTAATCATATTTCTTTTCTGTCCATGTTGACATGCCTAGCACAAGATTGACTGACGACCTTGTTAGAAAAAGTTTGTTTACAGGGCATCTCTGATATCTACCGAGTTTAAAAGCCTTTTATTTAGGGAGAATCTCCTGAACTCATAACAAAGACTTCGCTATTTGTACTATATATACACACACAATTCATTTCGTTTCCTTCATAAGGTTTTCAGACAATCATAGCGCACTTCCAACAAAAATTATGCGATGTGTGTATTTATAACTGTCTATCTATCTATCTACATCTGTAGAATGTAATACAATGGACAAGACATTTCACTTGTGCCTCTTACACTTCTGAAACATATATTGTACATAGACGACTGGCGTCATAGTCAATGCAACAATGAGCTCGGTGTTCTGAGAGACCAAAAAACAACAAAATGTATGAAGTGTTGCTTTAATGCGATTATTTTTTTATTGTACTATTGTATGTCATTATTTTGTTTTATTACGTTAAAATCTGTGTACAGCTTGCTGAAACTAATAGATCTATGCATTTAAAAGACTATACATGTGCTAATATGTAACGTCTGTATGAAACATTGACAAACTGGAATGGTTAATAGTGTTTTCATGTGTGTTTTTTTTTATTCTTAGTGTACATATGGAGAATTGTACATAAAAACATAACATATTTATGACTTCTAGCCCTGGATACAAATCAGTTGTATGTAGATGTTGTACAATGTAGTCCTGGATACAAATCAGTTGTATGTAGATGTTGTACAATGTAGCCCACACACCTTCACGAAAATAGAAAGACCCAAGATACCATGCATATTAAACTAGTAGGCCTAATGGTTGAAAATTATGAGGCTACATTCATGACTGGTAATTATTTTGATTCTCTTGAGACTTATTTTTAGGATGAAAGTTACAGAAGTGTTGGTTTGGTTTTTGTATCTCGCTAGTGCACTCTGAATAATCTCATGAAATCCTGTTCAATGCATTTCTGGGTTTAATATTGACAGTCATATGGCAAGTCATTCAAGTATAAATAAGTCATGTGATTGTAAAGAAATTTCATTACAAAGTAATAGTTCTTTTTGCATTGTAAATTCAGAAATGTATTAACAAAGTTCAAAGTGTGACGTGATGTTACTTGAATGTAAAACGATGTCTCTGTTTTAGTCTGCCATAGTTCGATTTGCAGCGGCAATAGTTGCAGGTTGAGGTAGTAGAACACTTTTGTTGATGAATCTATACATTGAGAATATAATGAGGAAATGCAATCTTTTTTTTTTAAATGTTGTACAAGATTTCGCTCTCACATTGTAAATCATTAGAAGCCAGTGATTCTTAAAATGTTGAACACCTCGACAAAGGGATGCGAATGCGGTCATTTTAGCTTCACATACAACAAATCTTTTTTTAAATCAAAATTGTAGTCAGAAATCTATATTTTAGAATTAATAAAGCTGGCTAATGGGATGAGGGTGGCCGTGATAGTATTTTTTTTGTCTGGAGGGCGTCACTAGTAAAAGTTTGAGAAACACTGCTGTGAAAATTCAAGGTATGATGTGGTAATGTTATCTGCCATTCTTTGTTTTCTAGTCGGATTAGATTCAACATGTTAGAACAAACGCTCTGGAGAATCCTGGGATATGGGGTGGAAGCAGTAGGTGTGAATTACCCTCCCCCCTTTCACCTGTCAAGTTGTATGCGGACGTTTTATTTATTTATTTTTTATTTGTGGGAAATTTACACCATTTACGTAAATAACAAGTTACTATTTTAAATAATGTGTTGTACTTAATCTTAACTCTAAAACGTGGAGTTTAAAGCAGGTCTAAAAAGAATGAAAGAATTATATGTTTTGATATTTCCAATCAAGCCTCCTCTCTTTACCATGAATGGATTGGAGATGAGTTGTTGGTAGATGCATTTGTTCTACCACACTTTTCATAAACCTATCTAGGGTGGCACACTTTCGTGGAAAAATAGTATAAATATTTAGTGAATAATGCGTTACTATACCATCGACCTCACATGCGTTTTTATAGAAAAATTAAATATATAGAAAATTTGATTTATTTAATATCAGCCTCTTTTTCAGTTGTTCACTTTTTTTTAATAGTTTGGTTCCACTCTTGTTAGAACATATGTTTGTGTGTCCTGTGTTTGAGTGTGAGTGTTTGGAGTTTACCAATATGTGGTCGTGTAATTAATTGAACATGTCAATGCAATCTTTTTATTTTTATTTTTTTCATTTCCTTTATTAAGGTGCTAATTGAATTGTCAACACTATATAGGTTCTATAAAACAGTTTGTTATTAAACAAATTGCCAATAATTGGATTGTTTTTTTCTGTCTTTCGCAATAATTTTTTTTTTAAAATTATTAATGTAGCCTATAGCTTAGTTGATTCTACGCAGTGAGAAACTTTTGTTAAATCGGAAGAAGGGTTAGATGAAGTCTATAGAAACTATAACATTAAAATAAGCCTGTTTTCGACAGAAACAGCATTGTGAAGTGTCCCGTTCCAGACAGAGGGTATCGATTACATAGCGGTAGTATAAGCGTTATATAATAGCGTACACATATAATGATGAGGACGTCAGAGAAGGATGCGCCTTGGGCAAACAAAAAAAATGCAGCTCAAGCATGGATTATTGGAAAATCTGAACATAAAAAAAGGAATTCGTTGGATTTGTTTTGTATGATTGCACTTGAAATCTGGAATATAGGAGCATGATCGTGAGGTTTCAGAGACAACTAGATCTAGTATTATATTGAGATAATATACGCGCTTCTAAAGTTATAAATATGCATTTTATTCACTTCGATTCAAGCGTAAATTATAATGTGTTGCGTTGTTGGCAGGAGGAAAAAAAGAGGGGGAGGAAATGAGGGGACGGAATCACGCATAAAGAATGTGTTTGAAGGGAGATAATCATATTCTCCTGCCAAAATTATACCAAGATTCTGCTAAAACAACGTCGTGGTGGTCTGTCCGAGCGTTTACCCCCACGAGATTACCCAGTATTACTTTCAAAAGAAAGACAATAGAAATAGAATACAATAGAAACACTGTCTCATTTTGGTGTGAGAAGAATATTGGAATAGGCCTACATATAACTAAACAAGCCTCCTACGTCTCTCTCTCTCTATATATATATTTGTATTTGTGTCCCGTTCCACTGTATATGTATAAATATACAGTGCTTTTGTGTAATCAAAATTTCCGGTACTCAGTGATAAATTGCCAACTTTTAACTACTAATATATTAATAATAAACGTTAAAATACAAGAAAAGTAATAATTTTTTCCCCACGCCGGCATATATATATATGCAAAAACAGTGTCTTTAAAGTTAAATCACGTAAATAATATTAACTACTAACTGCCCCCTACCAGCAGTATACAAACAGATATGGGTAATCGATATCCTGAGTTGAATAGTTTATTGGCTAGAGATCTCTCCTTGAAGTGACAGACACGCTTGCAGGTGCTGACATTAAACGGTTGCAGCCATCCTCCTGGCGGCAAACAATAGCTCATTGTCACCCCAGAGCTGTTGTATCATTTATCAACAGCGTCTGTGTAGATGGCAAACAGTAGTTCGGTGATGGGAAGAACCCCACTATGACCCAAATTTATTTCTCGAGATTTCTCAAAAAAAACAACACAACACAACTTAACTAGTCTACTCTCATTGGACTTCATTTCAAAATAGTATTATGCAAATAACAAAACAAAACAACAACCAAAAAACAACAACAAAAACCTCACAGTCTTTCTGTCTTTTTTCTTGGGAAAAATCTTCTTACTAGAATATACTCTTTTCTTTCTGTCTGGTCTCTTTCTTCTCTCTTTCTAGTTCCGTTTTACCTTTTTATAATACCTCCATTTAAGTCACACTTACGGAGTATAACCTGTGAAGGGGGGGGGGGGGGGGAGGCCGATCTTACATTTTCCTTGAAATTTGACATTAATGTATATCGTTGGTGGAAGAATGACTAGCTCGTTGGTCACAATGGGAAAACTCTAGTTGGACCGTTCACAATTTTGCAAAGTATAAAATAAAAAAATCTTTCAGACAAAAAAAAATCTAACATTGATTAATTATAAAGAGACAAATATTCGCTCTATAAAATGTACAAACGAGATTATTGTTTTTTTTTTTTATTATAATAATTTTGTTTTTCGTTTTTTCATTCTTCTTCTGTTTTTGACTATTTATTTCCCTTCTTTCTTTCTTTCTCCTACCTCTTGAGAATGCAATCAAAAAAGAGCCCAAGTGAAAGAACAATCTCATCCATTATTTACTCTAATCAGAGCACCAACAAGGAACCTTTATTGATTCAGCATATCAATTGAGTCAAAGTCTAAACCAAAACAAATTGATATGATGAATATAAAAAAAAGAACAGAATAATTATAAAATAATACATTTACTTTATATCAGTGACATACTTAGGCTTTTATATATAAAGCCTGGCATTTCCTTGATTAAATAATAATATAAAAAAAAAACAACTCTCTGCAGACGTGTAATTTAGTGTTTCTCAAAATTTTCACTTGAGACCCCACCAGCCCACAGTGGTCCACACACACACATACCATGACTTTCTCGTCTTGTCCCTCCACTACTAACCGGATTGGAGCGCAGTAAAGACTTACCTAGGATTTCATACGAGGCACGGAGTCCAATAACAGTTGATGGTGAGAAACCCACATCACAAGAGTTATTTGTGGATCAATATCAATTTCAGACTAAAAATAGATAACAAATCCTATAAATTGAATTTCATTTTGTTGGCATGGAGGGAGGGATGATATGGTAGGGAAAAAAAGGGGTGGAGTAAATAAGACAAGACAGAAAGTACAGAAATACGAATGAACATATGACAACAGTTCATATCAAGGTGTCTTAGTTTCTTACTAGATGGGCTTGAGTTGTTTTTTTTTTGTTTTATTATATACTTTTCACTTTAAATATCGGCGCCCCTCCAGCTCCGCCTACAATTAATTGTTCACGTCAGGTAACACTGTGAAGCATTGTCTGGGCATATTGCAGTGATCATTCAATACACCCATAGGACATGACGGCGGAAATAAGTTTTAAAAAAAAAGCACACAACAAAACAAAAAACAATAGTAACATAATGAGCCCCAAGGGCATCCACTGGAATGATGTGTCAAGTGTAGATCTACAGATGTGTGGATACGTGTGTGTGTGTGTGTACACAACAGTTGCTCAGCAGCAAATGTCACACATTGAGTCACCGGAGACATGAGTGTGTTGTGTTCTGTGGTCAGCATAATTATGTTCACCTTCGTTAAAATTGTATTTTATGTGGTTTTTTTTTATTTTGTATATAATATCAACTTTTAATTTCCTTAGCAGCATAAACAAAATCCTTAGGTAATAACATGTGGAGTGGTATCTCATTAGAGCGCTCAGTTACAGAACTGAAAGTCTTACACCTGAATCCCTAAGAAGACACTGTTACCCCGCCCCCTTTTTTGTTGTTATATTCTAAGAACTAGAGACGTGGACTCCACACAATGATCCTAACACAGCTGTAGGGAAAAGGCTAGAGTGCCATTGTGCTAACTTTAAAACACACTTGTAAACATAACAACGTGTAAACCGAAACTTTAAGGATGATAAGTTTACAATAATAAACACGTAATTGCAAAGAGTAGTCTTCCTTTCAGACTTTGCGATCTATGTGGCAGGCGTTAAACAGGCACTAAAGTGGTCACTTTCTAAACGAGGATGTTATGCAACCAGCTTGGCGACAGGCACGACCAAGCGTCTTCCCTTTAGATGCATTTAGTTTTTACATTGAAATCACATCGTTATTGTGGTACATTTTATACGCTGATGATTCTCAATCAGATTGTCCTTTTTGCTCCTTGACAAAATTCGCTGATAAGATAAGATAATTTTATTGATCCAATCAAATGAAAATTCATGTTTGACTACAATTGACAACATTAGCGAAACTACTGTACAATAACAACATTCGCACACGAAACACATACACATTCAGAACCAGCGCTTTATGAATGTGACTTCTACGTACTTTTCGATGACGACAGTTGATCTTGTAACACTCTAACCGAAAGTGGGATAAAGGAGTTTTTAAATCTTTCTGTTTTAGTCCTAATGAAAAGAAGACGACCACTTCGTCCTGATCTTATGTAACAGTGGTTTAATGGGTGCAGGTTGTCCTTAAGTGTTTTCGAAAGGCATCTTTCTTGAAAAGTTCTTCAAGAGATGATGCGGCTCCCCTAGCCCTGCTCTCTAAGAGCTCAGACCTTAATGACTTTCTTAGAAAAATAAAACAAAAAACATTGAAGAAGAATATTAAACCACTTGATCACTACACCTCCAGACAAAGACATGTATACAAACAGGTACACAAATATGAACAGCTTATATGGAGTGAAATTGCACCCATTATTTTGAATCAACCTTGTAATTGGTTTTAGTAGATCTAGTTTCTAGACTGATATTAATACATTTGGGAGATTGTAAATATTTGTGTACATTGTTTTTGTTTAGCGTGAGTTTCATGTTTATAGCACACTCAGTGCGTGATGCTCCAATCATGTTTGAGACCAGTTTGGGGAGGGGGGTTGTGAGGGGGTACTGGTAGAACGTTTCCGTGCTGCCCTTTCAAAAGCAACAAGAACAACAAAATGCATTTTAAAAAAACATTAACAACAAAGAAGTGTTATTGTATCAGTTTGTATTAGTCATGTAATTAAAGTTGTAATAGAATTAGTCCAACTACACTAAATCTGTACGATTAGAAATATTTTACCAATTGTTTTTTGTTTTTGTTGTTCTTGTTTAGCGCTATTTTATGCTTTTAGCTTTATTAACAAAGAAAAAAAAGTTGCTAGAGTCTGACTTCGAGCTCGAGCCTCCACAATGGAAGGCCGACATGCTAGCCACTGAGCTATTCAAGTACCTAAAAATAGAAGACTACATTAATTTAAGTCATTGGTTAACATGCATGACCAGATGCATGACGCGTAGGACGTAATCATCTTTTTGAAGTAACGTCTGTATTTTATAAAATACATTTTGTAAGTTTAAAATTTTAAACAAAGGACCTAATTCTCTACACAATGCTTATCTCCCCTAAGCTTAGTAAATTTTTTATTTGAAACAAAATTAATTAATCAGACTAATTGATTAACTAAGTGTTGTTTTTTTTTAATTCGTGTGTTGTCATTGACCATGAATAATTATGCAAAGTGTCAACTTGATTGGAGAATGGAATGTTGGAGAAATAACGTGTACTAGATTACACCCAGACAGACAGACG